GGTAGGATACAGTGCTAGAAGAGGAGTTGCTGAGGCAAAGAAGGGAACCTTACTATTTTGGTAGATCCTACCAAATTGCCTTCCAGTAGCTCTGCCCAGTTTCTTACCTTTCCAGAGATGGCAGTTTGCCTGTTCCTTACGCGGGCCACACACTGCGTTACCAAACCTTTTAACCTTGGCTGCCTCATAAGTGGAAAAAATGATCTTTGTGCAACTTTTAGTTATGAGCCAACCTTGAAAACAATAGAAAATAGCTCATTTTGCTGTTCATGTCTTTGTGGCGATAGCCTGTTATAGAGTTTCTAACTTTCTGGAATAGCAGAGGGATTGGAGTTGATTTTGGTTGATTATTTTTGACTGCATGGATGAATGAATTACTAGTTCAAACACTAAAAAGCAAATCTATATAATCCTTTAAAAAACAAGTCTTACACAAGGGGAACGAGATAGGCAGTGCATTTCTGATGATGCCTAGGACTTAAGATCGTGACTCACATCATAGTGCCGGCCCCGGGTGGACCTTTACCAGCTCCAGTCTCGCTGTGGTTCTGTGCTATCACCACACGCAGGAGACACAGACTTCATTTACGAATCTGGAAAAGATGATGCATCTCACAGTTGGGTGAGCTTGGACTTCTTCTAGACCAATTTTCTTTTCTTCACTGGGCCTTCATGGGGAAGAACTTGCAGGCAGAACTTGCCTTGATAAAAAGGGATATGACTTTTGTTTGCTTCTAGAGTCCAGGACTGCTGCAGGCGAATCATGTATGGTTTCAGGAAAGGGAAGTTTTTTCTGTGGCTTTGTCTAAAACGGTGAGCTGGGGGTGGGAGGGGCATGGGACAGAAGACAGTTTCTGGAAACATTTGCCAGCAGAGGCTTATGGTAAAGTATTTGTAAACATGATGTGGTTTACCACATCGTGAAGACACAGAGAAAACATATTATCACTTGACAAACAATCAAAATAGGACTAAGTGTTTGTGCACATACATGCTCTGCTACAGTTACACTCAGCCTGTGCCACTGTGAAAGACCAAGCTGGGGTCCCACTGCCAGTCATGAGCTGAGCCACAAGCTTTCACCTCAAGTTCTAAACATCAAAATGGGTGTCCTTTTGTGGTACTGAGGACTGAACTCAGGGCCTCTTGCTGTATTAGGCAAGCGCTCCACCACTTGAGCCACACCCCAGTCCTTTTGCTGTTTTTCAGATAGGGTCTTTTACTTTTGCCCTTGCCAGACTTGGGCCACAACCTTCCTATCTCCACCTTCCGAGCTGCTGGGATGACAGTGCACCTTCATGCCCCACTTCCACGTGCCCTTATCTAGCAGTCAGGATGCTAGTTTGGTCTAGACTCAGGTTAAAGCAGGTCTGGTTTTCAGAATCCTTACACTTTCTGAGACTTCTGGGAGAAGGCCAGCACACTGGCTGCATGTGTACTTGCTCTGTGCTTTTCTGAAAAGTTTGGGCAGATGTTTCAAGTCTTTTCGTTCACTAACACTTTGGCAAACCCCTGTGCTACTGGGGTAAACACATCTCTCCCTGTCATCCCTGCTCTGTCCTTTACATCTCCCTTCTCTGTCTTTCTCTCTTTTCTTTTTAAAGACAGCTGTGTTAAGATATTGATTCATATAAAATGCAGTTCAACTATTTTACAATTCCATGACTTAGGGTATGTTTACATGTGCTGACAGAGTTGTATAGCCATCACCACTGTCAACTTTAGAACATTTGCATCAACCCCAAAGGAAGCCCATCCCATTATGAGTTACTTCCCATCCCTTCCCCATATCCCTTCCTCTATCCCTGGCCAACTACTAAGCTACTTCCCATTGTTGTAGATTTGCTGTTCTAGGCATTTCCTGCAAGTGTCAATGTGGGATCTTCTGTGACTGGCTTGCTTTACTTAGCATCATGTTTTCAAGGCCTGTTGTATGAATGCATCAGTCCTCCATTCCTTTTTATGACCACATAATACTCCATTTATATGAATATACCACTTTAAAAAAAACCCATTCATTTGTTGATGGACATCTGGGTTGTTTGCACTTTTTGGATACTATGAATTATGATACTGTAAGTGTGCATGTGCAATTTTTAATGTGAATATCTGTTTTTATTTCTCTTAAGTGCATACCAAGGAGTGAAATTGCTGAGTTATGGAGACACTGGGTTTAATATTTTGAGGAACTACACACTGTTTTCCCACATGGCTGCACAATTTTATATTCGCACCAGCAAGACCTGAGGGTTTTAATTTCTCTTTATTCTCTCCAGCACTTGGCATTTCTTTTTAATTATACCACCCTAAGGGCGAGAATTGGCACCTCATGGTGGTTTTGATCTGCCTTTTCCTATGACTAGGAACGGTGAGCATCGTTCAAGTGCTTGCTGGATTTCTGTACATCCTCTTTGGAAGGAGTCTGTTCAGCTCATTGGCCCTGTTAAAATGGGTTATTTGCCTTTTTATTGTTAAGGTGAAGAATTCTGTATGTATTTTAGATATGAGGTCTTTATCAGACATATGACTTGTAAATATTCCCTCTTATTCTGTGACTATGTTTTCATCATCTCAGTATCATTTGCAGCACAAATGTGTTGAATTTTAAAGAAGTCTAATTTAATTTTTCGTCATTTGTGCTTTTGATATTACAGCTAAGAAGCCTTTGCCTAAACTCAACATCACAAATATTTTCTCATAGGTTTTTTTTCTTTAAGAGTTTTATAGTTCTAGCACTTAGATTTTAGGTCTGTGATCCAGTTTGAGTTAATTTTATGTGTGGTATAAGGAAGGAATTTTGCTTTTTCTTTTGTGTGTGACTGTGAGATTTCTACTAACTTCCAAACATCAAAACAGGTGCCCTTAGCTAGCATGCCAGGTCCTGGTTAGCCCCGTGTTCAAGCAGGTCTGGTTTTCAGTATCTTTACTCTGCTCAAGATTTCTGGGCAAATGAAAGCACACTGGTTACACACGTAGGTGTTCTTTGCTTTCCTGAAAGGTTTTGGCAGCAAACCTTTGTCTGGGTGTCCCAGCATTATTTGTCAAAGGCTATGCTGTCCCCACTGAGTCATCTTGGCACCCTTGTTGAAAACCATTGGTTGCCAGTGTAAGAGTTTATGTCTGGTCTCTGTTTCTATTCCCTGATCAATATGTCTATCCTTACGCCAAGTCCCACCCTGGCTCCATACCCGTGGCTTTGTATTCTCTTACCTCACTGGGAGTTAGGGCAGCAATGGGCAATCTAGACATATTGTCTCCCTGCTCTGATCAGTTACTGGATTCTTCTTTTGGCAGTACTGGAGTTTGAACTTGGGACCTACAGCTTGGTGTAGGCAGGCACTCTACCACTTGAGCCATATCCCAGTGTTACTGGATTCTTTATTTAGATCCCTCATTAAACTTTCAATAACAGTTATCTCTCTTGTGCTCATCTTTATGATGTGTCCTTTTGCTGGTTCCATTAGGAGATCATATGTAAGTAATCCCAAGAAACTCCAGTGCTCTCCCAGCCCCTTAGTTGTTTTCCTAGCTATGCCAGCTAACCTCATTATATCCCAGCTGGTTGGCGTTAATGAGGTTTCTGGATATAGAATTAAACATTTGGGCTGTGAAAAGATGCTCTGGTTTCTGAAAGTCTCCAATTGGTTAAAGTCCAGGATAAGAGACATTACTGTACTGTTCAAGATCTTTCCAAAAGGCTAGGCAAGCATGCAGGCAGTTCTAGCAGGTAGCTCTCTCACATAGGCTGTCAGATAAGCTTTCAAAGTCAAGTCTTGCCTTGCCTGAACCTTTCTTTCCTTATAGAACTCTACTCTTCTTTTGTGAGCATGAGGTTTGTAGCTATTGACATCTTCGTAGTAATAGCAAACTGGAGGACAGGCCACAGATCTGTATGAAGAAGTAGAACTCTGGACAGGACCCCTTATCATTGCTTCAAGTCACTAAACCCTGAGCACAATGGCCGTGTGACACCTGGAACCAATAGCAGTCAACCTGTCATTGCTGGCATTGTCTTCCATTCTGAATTGGTACAGCTTGAGCTCGTTTTCAGGTGAGAGTACCTCACCCTGTGATTTTACAAATTTTAATTTTTGATTTATGTTGGCTGATAACAAATCTGTACATAGATACCACCCTCCACCAAGGCCTTCTGTTCAGGGTCCTGCTCCTGGTAAGGGATGGGGAAGTGGACACAGCAGAGTGCAAGGGCTGTGAGGCTAGGATTTGGATCAGTCGCCTGAATGCAGTTCCTCCTAGGTGAACTGGGCAAGTTCCTTCTGCTCCCCAAATCACCATCTCCTCATCTTTCAGGGATGGTAGGGTAGAACCCATCCTGAGGGCTGTTACAAGGTAAAGATCCCATAAAAAGGACTTAGCACAGGCGAGGGCCGGTGAGCTCTTCTACAGAGCCAGACAGCAAATCACTTAGGCCTTCACAAATCTTCCACAAACACATGGCTTTGTTATTGTAGCTTGAAGGTGGCTGTAGACAAGCTGTAAATGAGTAGACATGGCTGTGTCCCAATGCTTCATTTTTTAATTTCATATTTTATTTTTTTTTGCAGTGTTGGAGGTCCAATTCAGGGTCTTGTGTATGCAAAGCATGTGCTCTACCACTGGGCTTCATCCCCACTTTAAAAGTAGGTGGCACACTGTGCATGGTGGTTCGTGCCTGTAATTCCAGCTAGGCAGGAGGCATAGGTAGTAGGTAGGATGATTGAAGTTTGAGGCTGGACTCAGACTAAAAGCACAAGTCCCTGTCTGAAAAATAATCTAAAAGCAAAAAGCGCTGAAGACATGGCTCAAGTGGTAGAGCACTTGCTTAGCAAGTGCAAGGCTCTGAGTTCAAATGCCAGTTTGGTCCTCCCCCACACACCAAAAAGAAAAAGAAAAAGAAAAAGGCAGCTGGCAGGCTGGATTTGACCTGCAGACTGTTATTTGTTAGGTGAGCACAGACACCAGCCATTCTCACAGCCTGTCCACCACTCTGTGTTTAACAGAATGTCGAGCTCCTGGCCAGCCGGAGCAACGCTTCAGGGCAAATCCAGGCTGGGGCAAAAGTACTCGAGAAGGTTCTGAAGGAGGAGAATGAGAGGCTGCAAGGCAGGATTGGAGAGCTGGAGCGGCAGATCGAAGACATGAAAGGCGAGGAGGCCCAGGCGAAGGAAGCACTCCGGAAGTGTGAGGTGAGGCTCGCTGGGCCCACGCTGGGCCTGGCATCCTGGAGCCTTCTTTTCTGCAAGTGGTTTCAGAGGTGGGGAAGGCATTTATTGTCTTAATTTCGTAAAAAGGTCAAGACAATCTGGACTAAATCCTCTCTGTGAGCCATTTCTTTTGTTCCTCTGGGAGTGGTAAGGAGAACTAGGAAGAGGCATGGTGAGACAAGATGGAAGGGAAGCATCGGTGTGGGGACAGGAACCCTACTCGTCCTGGCATGATCTCAGACACTTCAACCTTCAAGGCCTCTAGCACCTGCAGGACCGCCTGCTTTCTCATCACCATCTGGCCAAGGTCACTCAAGGCTAGACTGTTTTAACACAGAGTTGATCTTGTTGAAGTCAATAGGTTTTAGCAAACCAATTTTCTAGTTTGCAACACTTCTTAGAGTGGGGAGCTGTTAGTGACTGACACACACCCTGATGGCAGCACATAAAATAGCAGATGACAGTGACTGATGGGACAACCTGGGACCCATCGAAATCACCTTTATAGGACTCCCTGTGTCCTGGAGTTTCTGAGTCCACAGTGGTGTGGCTGGATATTTGTATCAAAAAAATCACCCTAGATATCTGGATGTTCACATGTGGCTGGAACTGGGACCGTGGACAGGCACATATCCAAGTACCTAGCTTCTGGGTGGCATCTTGGGCTCATGACAGTCATGTTGTGGCCACAGCCATGTCATGTCTGCAGATGTCTTCTGCATTTATTTCATTCCACCGAGTCAGTGTCATAAGCACAGCACCCTGACTAGTGTTTCATTGTAGAGCGAAATGCAGCAACTAGAGGAGGCCCTTGTGCAAGCCAGAAAGGAAGAAAAAGAAGCTACGTCAGCCAGAAGGGCCCTGCAGAGTGAGCTAGAGGGTGCTCAGGTAAGCACCGAGGCTTGGTCGTTCCTTCCTCATAACAGGACAAGGAGATATGACCACTGGTCCTCTCCAGGGAGCTCCCGTTCACCTACCATTACCACCTGGCTTTTGAGCTATCCATTTAGACTGGAGGTTCTCAACTGAGGTGTATTACGGGTAATACAGTAATGTCTAGTGACATTTCATTTGTCACCACGCTACTGGCATCTAGTAGGTGGATGCAAGGATCCTGCTAAAGCACCCTACAAAGCCCAGGACGCCCCACAACAAGGTTGAGAAACCTTAGTCCAGACATTAAAGAGCTTGACAGCTCTCCAAAGAAAATATGTATAGTGGGAGAAGGCTGATGGGATTCGTCTCCATGGCTGTGTGGAGTTGACTTTCTGGCCGAAGCCAATTTCCCTTCTCCTCTGGGAAAATGCCCTCCATAGAGCGCTGTCCTTCAAGATGGCTATTAAAAGGAGCAGGAGGAAGTCATTTCCTTGAAACTAGATAGCTATCTCTGTTCAAAACCAGTGGGCTCTTAGAAAATGAGATTTTCCCACTCAGAGGTCACAAACATTGTTTGAAGTACATTCTAATAAAAGCCTGCACTGAAGTTGTAAGTTGACTTTGCACAGTCACCTCAGTGCAGGCCTGGCCTGGCCTTCCTTCTACCTGCTTTTGGGTTTTAAAAAACACCAGCTATTGCTCAGGCGAGCCTCTGAGCAGGGAAAAGCCAGTGTTGGCCAAAGGAGGTTGTTGAAGTTTTGCCTGAGAGACCCTCTTGTCTGCAGGGATAGCTGGGGGCCTCACACATTAAATTCTGAGTCAGGATCTCGGCTGACTGCAGAGCAGGATTTACACGGTTAGGACAACCTAACTCAGGGCCTCTCATCCCCAAACCATGCCTAGCCCTTGGCTTCAGCCCGAGAACTTGTTTCTACATAAAGCCTGTTTTTCCTGAGTTCAGCATCTACTGCCTTTGCTTTGGAGTCTGTCTCTCTCTTCTCTTTTCTCTTTCTCTCCCTTCCCTTCTTTTCCCTTCCCTTCCAGATTCAGGGATAGGGAAATCAACTTCCTTCCTTCCTTCCTCCCATCATTTTTATTAGCATATATTACTTGTACAGTGGGGGGTCTCATTGTGACATTTCCATATATGCTTACAGTGTGTTAGATTCACCCCCACCATCATTCTCCCTCATCCCCTCCTCCATCATTAGAACAATGAAACCTATAGAAATCATTTTATTTTCATGCAAGCATATAAAATACATTGACCATATTCATCCTCCTATACCCGCTCCCACAGGTGCCCATCTCCCACCAGGACCTGTTTTACACTCCTGCCCTTTATTTTTTAAGTGCATATTTATTGTTCGAAGAGGCTTTGCCATGGTGTTTCATCAGATTTCTTCCTTCCCTAAGTGGATGGCAGTTTCACTGTGCAGCTAGTTAAGGCTTTGGTGCCTATGCTACCCAGCCAGTTGCTAATGTGTGGGGTTTAAATTTGTGAGCTTGTTGGGGGCTCAGAAAGGCTTGCTGCAGACAAAAATCTGTACCTCCATATCCTGTCCACACCAAGTACAGGGCATAGCGTTAGGATGTGTCCTTGGTCAAACAAGAATGCTTGCCACAGGGGGAAGTAGTTCAGCAGCTGGGGCTGAGAGTCGATCGGGGTGGAACAGAAGATGGTCTCAGCCCTACTGCAATTCAGGCCATTGCCACTTGCCCACACCTCCAGGTCTCCAGCCTGGCCTTGGAAAACCGCCCCCACAGGCTACTTTTGTTGGGCCTGTGTTCCCAGCAGTGCAGAGTGGTGCGATGCTCCACGCAGAGTGTGGCTGCACACACTGGCCCTTGGCAGTGTCATCTGGCAAGAGTTTGACATGGCCTGGCAGGTTCACCATCTTTACCCCAGTTAGCTGGTCTTCAAGGACTGGTATGAAATGTGCACCATCAGCTTGAAATGATTTGTTTTCTTTAAAATTGGGAACCAGATAGTCAGCTCCTTTCATTCAGTAACACACTGCATGCCCCCCATCCCCCCACTGCCCCAAAAGTTTTAGCAAGGATTTATTTTAGCATGGGAAAATGGTGAACAGGAAATGTTTCTCCCTATCAGGAAATGGGAATAAAGACTGAAAATGGTGGTTTGTATCTGTGGTTTTATACTTTCTGGGTTGGAAGAATGCAATGGTCATGTCTAGAAATCTGAAGTCATTAAAACAATGGATCTGGATGGCTAAGATGGGTGTTTAAACCTCTAGGCCCCCCAACACACAGGGGCCATCACTGAGTTTTAGGGCTTCCCTTTGCCAGACATGCCTGTTGTTCTTTCTGTCCCTCTACCCATTCAAGGTGCCTTTCTGCATGCTCTTATCTTTGAAGCTGGCAACCAAACGGGAGGTTAGCCTTTGAGGAAGAGAAAAAAGTAACTAGTTTTTTTCCCACACAAGGATTTTGCATTGTACAACTTCATGACTTTTAACAGGCTGTTGCATCTTCATAAATGATAAATGTGCTTACTTTCATAGCAACTGAAGACCACAGTGAACTTGGATCTGACCTACTGTGACCCATTCAAAATGTGGCAGAGGGCCATAAAGTTGTCATTCTTAGTTTCTTCCACCCCTGTCCCTTGGTCCAGGATGGTGTTACTATCTAGTTTATTTGAGCTGCATTCTAGGGGAAGATGTCTAGGATTCTGTTTCTAAGGGGCTTCTACAGGTATGAAGGTAAAAGACACTTTTTGGGGAAGTTACAGTTCTTTCCTTCAGGGAGGGACTCTGCTCCCTATTCTGTATCTTTACCTCCCACCTTTTGGGCTTTGTGTACTCAGACAAAAGAGGGTCAAAGCCCAAAGCTTCTACCATTGCAGTCCACAGTTCCTGTGCGGCAGGAGCTCTGGGAAGATCAACTCCTTCTGATCAAGCCACTTGTTCCTTAACTCTCATGGTCTTCCACACCTTGGTTATTGCTAATATGGACTAATTGGTGCCTTGGTCATAGAATAAAAGGCTCTGATTCCATTGACAGATAATGGTCTCCATGCTCAAGGGCCCTCACTACATCCACCAACTTTGTGTCTTGGATTCTCCAGCCTGATAATTTTCCTGCTATTGATCAATCTTGTATTGCTAGTCTTGGAAATATAGTCACTGTACCTATAGAGCATTTCACTCAATATTGCTCCAAGAAGGGTTAAAAAAAAAAAAAAGGAAAGTTGCTGATTTTCATGTAAATTTGAGACATGTTTTCTCAACAGTGACTCTTGGAACATATTTCTTGAATAACTGAGGAGGCAGAACATTGTTCTAGACAATGTTTCTAAACTTTGGGAAATGTTAAGATTACTTGGGTAACTCTCAAGAACAGATTTGTGGATCCCACTCTAAGAAAAGTGTGATTCCATCAGAAAGGGTGAGAGTCTGCATTTTAAGTAAGGTATTCCACCTTGCTGACTGATACCCAAAGAGCATAGGTATTAATTTTCTTTCTCCCTGCCCCCCATCCCCCATACTAGGGACTGAATTCAGGGCTGTGCTCTTGCTAGGCAAATGGTCTACCACTTGAGTCATGCCTCATCCCTTTGGCCTTTAGTTTGTTTTTCAGATAGTGTCTCATGCTTTTGCCTAGGCCAGCCTCAGACTGTGATCCTCCTGTCTCTGACTGCCACATAGCTGGGATTACAGGTTTGCACACCATGCTTGGTCCCTAAGAATTTGTATCTTTGAGATAGAAGTTCCTGAGAGCTTTTTCCCACATGACAGAACCATACTTTACTGGGACCAAGATTCCTTCTCCTTACTCTTTGTAGTCAACACCACTAAATAAATTACAAACAGAAACCCTAGGGTCTGACCTTGCTTCTGATATGTGCCTGGCTGTGGTGGGGTGACTCTTGCTGTAATTGCCCTCACACTGAACTTCTCACTATGCTTCTTTTTCCACCTTATTTTCCCCAGTGACTTTTGTTGACCTAGGTTTCCTGAAGCAATTAACTTCAGCAGCCCAGCAGAATTGACTGCTTCTCAAAGCATGGCCAACCAGCACCACCCAGGGACTGGGAGTCCTTTATAGGTGGTGTTTCAGCCCATGCCATATGGTTGGCAGATCAGAGCTATCCTTTGCTTTGTAAAGCAGGACTGCCTGAAGTGATTTGGGAATATTTCCATGATGACTGAACAACCTCATGTGACAGCAGCTTATAAACTGTTAAGCACTCGACAAAGACCAGCCATTACCCTCTGCAGCCTCTGCTGGGACTCAAGATTAGGCAGGTCTTAAGGTTCCTGTCCTAAGCCACATTCAGCCCTCAACATCTGGTCATAGTTTCCAGGTTATCCAGTCTGTGCTTGGGTCATGTAGTCCAGTTCTGAGCTGTGCCCCTTCTCGATATCCTAGTGTTGATGGTCCCAACAGTGAACCCTTTAAAGAGGACACCATAACCTGCCAAAGAAATTTTAGGATTTTTGTTTTGGCATTGCATGCTGTTGACATTTTATCTGTGTGTGACTTACCAAGCTGGTTACATTTTGTAGTAAGTGCCAGTGCTAATTGACTACCAACCTTCCATGTGTACTTTTTCTGGCTAGTGTCCCTTCATTTTATACTTCCTGTTCATCAAGCAGAATAAATTCTAGACTATTAGGTCATATACTATGTACACACACACATCACAGGATATAAATTGTCAAGTAGGCTTAGGTTGGTATAAGGTATAACTATCTCAGTTTTCAAGTCTGAACACTCAGCTGTTTGAATTTCCACTGCCAGCAGCCTTGGCTGTTTGCTGTGTTTCTGTAATGCATCTTTTGTCTGCCCTTTCAGTCCTGCAGTGTTATTGGTTAAGTCAACTTGTTTGTCTGGTCCCTGAATTTTGTAACTAGCTTGTATTACTGTGATGACTTTATTCTGGTCTTTTCCCTTATCACTGATGGAACTGGTCTGATTGCTTTGTGGTGTGGCTGTGAAATTCCCTCTGCCACCTGTTCTTGAGGTTAGCCTGATGGTTAGGTGACAGCACTGTCCTATTCCTGCCATCTGCAGAGAGAGCTGAGCCAGACCACTCAGGAGCAGAAGCAGCTGTCTGAGAAGCTCCGAGATGAGACTGAGCAGAAGGAGCAGTTAAGAAGGCTGAAGAACGAGATGGAGAGCGAGCGATGGTGTCTGGACAAGACCATCGAGAAACTGCAGAAGGAGGTGAGGGAGCAGGAGGGAAAGTGGGGGGCGGTGTGCTCCTAGTAGGACCCGGCTCCCCCTGGGTCTGATGGAGACTTAAGATACCTGCAGCTCTGTCCGACACAGATGTGCCTGGGATGTGCAGATCCCCTGAAGCCACTCTTTGAACTTGAAAAATCCCAGATGCAGAGAAACTGGTCTAGAAAGTTCAGGACAAGGCTCTCAGAACTCTGGACATCAGAGTCACCTCTAGCAATGAGCAGAAGCGGCTTGGTGTGGATGCACACACCTAGTTAGTATTCCTTGAGTTGGAATCCACACCTGTGTGGAGTCTGTGCATTTGCCTCCAGGTGACATGTCCAGAAGTGCAACAGGCAGTTTCAAAATCCAGTAGGTACTGCTCCTCTGGCCCCAGATACTCAAAGGAGGATAGGAACAAGGCTGATGGGCTTCCTGCATTCTAGGAGTGGACGCAAGAAGCTGCCATTTTCTGACAACTACCATCAGCCAGTCACTTTGTTAGCTATTTTAAATCTTACTTGAATTCTGACAATAACACTATAAGGTAGATAGGATTTCAGGACCTTGGTGGTGTCTTCTTTGAGAATAAGGAAATCCTACTTACCTTGAAGAGTCATTGTCGGAATTAAAATAGTATACAGATAGAATTCAAGACACTGCAGAGATCCTGAGAGGCTGTATTAACTGGAAAGTAGTAGAGCAAGTTTCTGGCCCCAGAGGATGTCTTGCCAGCTCTGCCATGTTGTTGCCAAGACAGAGGTGGCCAGACCTGGACAGTCCAGGTCCAGGTGCGTTACAGCCTTGGAGGGGGCTGCTGAAGGCAGGGAGAAGAAGAGACATTCTCTGTGTTGAAAGAGGACCCACACCCAACTCCCAACCTGCAGATGGAGCATCACAGGGTGGGGTCACATCATGTCACTTCTTCCAGATGGCTGACATTGTTGAGGTGTCCCGCACGTCAACACTGGAGCTCCAGAACCAGCTGGATGAGTACAAGGAGAAAAATCGCAGAGAGCTTGCCGAAATGCAAAGGCAGCTGAAGGAAAAAACCCTAGAGGCAGAAAAGGCCCGACTGGCCACCATGAAAATGCAGGATGAGGTAATGCCTGCCCAGATGATGTCATACTTTATCCTTTAGTGTCCTGTGAGCCTGCTTTGACCTGCTTCTAAAGGGTCTTGGGGTGAATTCTTAAGACATCTTTTGTGCTTGCTTCCTCATTTACAGCCTTCTGATGTCACATGGGCAAATGGTATCCTAAGACCCAACAAATCCACCCACTCTGAGGTGAAACGACCATAATTTTAACTGGGTCATTTTCTTGATTAGTTCAAAATTTACTGCCTAAAAATGTTAGCTGCCATGTATGGAGTAGGAACGGGGAGCCTGGTGTGTTTCATCTACATTCATGCTTGAATTTTCTCCTAGGAAAAGAATTATAGTAACTCTTTGTAATTTCAAAACTGGGTGGCAAAAAACCAGACTTTTGTTGGGGTGGGGTGGAGAAAAAGAGTTTCAGAATGACAATAATGGAGACTAAAAAAAATTCTTGGGGGTAAAGCCTAGTAGCAGAGTGCTTGCCTAGCATGTGTGAGGTCCTGGGTTCAATCCCCAGCACCAACCCCGCCCCCCCCCAATATATATACTGACTTAGGTAACCTTAATAGAGCGAGATAACTCAAGTGTTTGCTCCTTTCGATTTTGACTTCTATAGACTTGAGAAAAATAAAGGGGTTGTTTTTGATTGTTTTAATGGAAAGTAGAGGCTCTGAAATTCAAGCCCAGTGGATGCTAATTTCTCCTTCACGTCTTGCCAGCTGGATAACCTTGACCAAGTCACCCCAGTTTTCTGAGCATCTGTTTCTATCTCTTTAAAAATGCCCAATATTAGTAACTCAATAATTCAACCAGAAAATATATATACTGCAGAGGGTCTGTACTTCCCGGATCTTCTACAAATGTCTCTAGTTTTCTTTAATTCTAAAGCTTATTTTTTCACCTGGTGCCAAGAGCACAAAGATTCCACAGGAAAACAAAGTTTTCTTTAAAAAACAAACTCTTAATTTCTTTGATGATCAAAGAAAAGTCACCCATGAGTCAGTGCTGAGACTGGAAAGGAACAATGGGTATTTATTACAGTCTCCCAGAACACTTCTTAAAGGACCCTGATAACAGATCTCCGCTGGCTCAAGGTCATACGATATAGGACTCCAATTTGCTCTGACATCACAGTTCTATTTAGCATCAAAAAAATTATTTTCATTTCTACAGCAAAGGAGTGAGTAATTGAGATATTTGCCAGGACACCAACAAACACCTGGTCTATTTTGGCTTCAAAAGATTGCAGTGTCACAATAACCACCCCCCCACTCCCCGCAACACACACACAGTGCTCTCTGCTGCTTTTTGTGAAAGAGTTTTATGCTGGACTCTTGGGTTGGGAGGAAACTTAGAGGTCCTTTCATTTGATAAGGACACTGAAGTCCTGAGAGCTTAGCTAAGGCCAGAGGGAGAGCAGTGTTGTAAAGAGCAGTACTTTTTTTTTTTTTAAAGGATTCCCTATATTGGAAACAAAGATGGCCCTTCCTGGATTTCCTGTGAGATACTATTTCCATTTGAAGGGCCGACATGGCGGCCTCATCACTCTGAAGGGAAAGTAGGAACATGCAATCCTTAAGATGCAGACGTCAGCTGGTCATGGTGGCTCATGCCTGTAATCTTAGCTATTCGGTGGACTTAGATCGGGACCACAATTTGAGGCTAGACCGGACAGAATTAGTTGGGCACGGTGGTGCACACATAGCATTCCAGCTTTGTGGGAAGCATAAAGAGTAGTACTGTGGTCCAGGCAAGATTAGTTATCCCTAAAATAACTAAAAGCAAAAAGGGCTGTGGGCATGGCTTAAGTGGTAGAGCACCTGTCTAGCAAGTGCAAGGTCCTGAGTTCAATCCCCAGTAGTGTATAAAACAAGAACAAAACAGAATTGGATTAAGGTCACCCTGTATCCTTGAAAGACTCAAGATCAACTCCTCAGCTTCTCAGCCTGAGTTAAAGCTCTTAGTTGAAAACAGCTACAGGATCGCACAAGGCTGGAGCACTGGCTGCCTTTGCCGTGAGGGGAACTGCATGCGGTGTGGGGGCCAGACGAGTTCTGGTGAGGCTAATCTTCAGGGGCTGGGATGTGGCTCAGTGGCACAGCGTGTGCAAGGCCCTGTGTGGATCCTCAGCACTGCATTAGAAAAAAAAGAATTCACCATCATTAGCTTATTTCCTTAGCAGACGGTGGGTTTTAGGTCCTCAAAGGCAGTACTGGCAGGTTCAAGTTATTTACTTTGATTCAGATGTGTTCTTCTCAGACACTAAACAAGGTGAGTGTGAAGGGCCGTTGTCTGAAATGCTTGGGACCAGAAGTGTTTCAGTGGTTGTTAGCGTTTAGAATATTTGCCTAGATTTTATGAACTGAGTATTCCTACTCTGTAATGCTCTTTTCAGTTTTGGATTTCAGAGCATTTTGGATTAGGGATGCTAAACTTGTACAAGTTAGTCCCTGCTGTGTGTCCTTATGGAGTGCTCTTAGTGTGGTGGAGTCCTTGCTTGGAGGGACCTCTGCAGAGATGGAAACCTGCTGGTTAGGGGGGTGGGTACACAGTGCCAGGAGTGATGCACTAGGCATTGGGGAGGATGCCAAAGAGGAAATGTACCTTTCCTGTCTGACTCTCAAAGTCATGCTGTTTTGGTGTGTCATCTGATGCTCATGGTAACAGTGAGGTAGGTCTTATAATTATCCCACTGTTGCAAATGAGGAAACTGCACCATGGAGTCAATGTTCTGGGCAGAACGGACCCCCTGTGTCCTGAGAGTGTCCCCTCGCCCTTTCCCATGGATGGTGGTCACTCTGTGGTTTCACTGTTTCATCCACCATTACCACTCAAACCAGACTAGGGTTGGTGGCTGCAGCTTCAAGGCTGGGCTGTTGTAAAAATGTCAGGTGGCAAATAGGTTTCCAACAACTTTTCCTACTGGGGTTCCCATGGGGGGCTTCCCAGGTGTTTCTGTGACAAACAGCCCCAAAGGATAGTGTTCTATAATGGTGTCTGCCACTCACTTCCATACCCTCCCTGAAGGAACAAACCCCTGACACTCTAGTCCCCATACCATCTCCAGGAGGTAGGACATTGGATCAAAAGGGCCAGCCCTCTCCCCCACGTGTATAAGGAGCACTTATTAGAGAGTACCTGCTACATGCCTGGAAGGCAAGTCCCCTGGGGAGATCCCAGGGAGGTTGAGGACCGGCCCTTGACAATCAAGCTCTTTTTCTCTGTTGCACATTCTTCAAAGCTATTAGTATAGTGCCACCTTGTGGATGAAAAGAACACTGTCGTTATGACTGATCACTTCTCCAAAGCGGTGTTGTCATTTAAACTCCATGTTCATAGTGTGACCTATTGTAACTGCAGCTTGCTTTGAGGTCATTAATTAGTTTTTATTTTACCCTAAGTTTCAAGCTCTTTGGATGTGATGCTGATACATGTGGGCAATAAATTACTTCTCTCTAGAAAGCACTTACAAGTGTTTCTGACCATAACTGTGAGTTAAGTAAGAACTACACACAGTCATACAAATATATTACTATCTAGTACAAAAGAATTACAAAATAAGAATTGCTTGTACTGTTATTTTTTCTGTTCTATTGAATTTAAAAGTGGCAGTCACTATCTAATGGATTCAGTTTATAACCTGATGGGTCCTTCCTATAGCTGAGAAGGACCTTTCTTTTTATAGAGATGAAACTGAGGCCCCGAGGAAGGTGGGATTTGCTCAGGGTCCTTTGATCTGTAACAGGGTGGGTGTCCACTTTGGTCATCTTTGCTTTTGGGTGATCCTATATATTGTTTGTTGGGGGGGGCGGGTCTCTGTGCCTTTAAAAAAACATAGTTTTTTGTGGTACTGGGGTTTGAACTCAGGCACTCTACCACTTGAGTCATGTCACCCAGCCTCAACTAAAGCAAAAATGCTTTTATCGATTTTTTTTGGCGGGGGGGGGGGGCGGTAAGAGCTCCTGTTTTTGCCCAGGGCCAGCCTCAGACCTAATACCTAATACCTCCTGCGTAGTTGGAATTATAGGCATATCCTGCCAGGTCTAGTTTTTTGCCTGGCTAGTATTGAATTGTAAGTGATCCTCCCAATCTATCTCCCAAGTCGCTGGGATTACAGGTATGTGTCACCATGTCTGGCCCATGTCTGTGCTCTTGTACCCCAGGAACCCCCCATCTGTCTCTCCCCCTAGATGCACCTGATGGAGGAAGAGTTACGGGACTACCAGCGATCCCAGGAGGAAGCCCTCACAAAGAGGCAGCTTCTGGAGCAGACATTGAAGGACCTGGAGTATGAGTTGGAGGCAAAGAGTCATGTCAAAGATGACCGCAGCCGGCTAGTTAAGCAGATGGAGGTCTGTGGGCTGGATTGCAGGAGGGGGGAGCTGGGCCATGAGGAAAGTGGCCTCTCTTAAGTCTGGAAGCTCTGAGTTTTCATTCTCTTCATCAGACTGTGTTGTCAAGGTCCTTTCTTGATTCGAGAGAGAAGTTGATAGGTTATAACCTGTGGGACACCAGACCTAGAATACTGGGTATAATTTAGTCTAGGGTCTTCATTGTCCTGGAGAGCAAATGGAACAGAGCCGCAGAGGGTAGGTGACTGTGCCCAAGGGCACAGATGCTGTTTGTTCCTTTTGGCTGTGCTTCCAACTTTAGGCTATAAGACTGCTGACAATCCAGAGAGGGCTCACACTGTGCTTGAACCCAGCCCTCCCGCCTCTCCCCTAGGGAACATCTACACAACTTGGCTACACCAGGTCCTCAGTTCTCATTTCCTGTTTCTAGCCCATTTTCCCTCATGGTTTATTTAACGTTGCCAAAGCTAGCAGCAAATCTTTTCCATAGTTCAAGAGAGTATATATAAAAAAAGTTGCTCAATACTGTCACCAGGTAAAGATTCACAAGCCAAAGACACTTTAGAAAAAGCATCAGTGAAGTCACAGAATCCCTGTGGGCACAGCCCCTGAGATGAGAGGAAGAACCTGGAAATCACCCCTCTGAAACTTTGTAAAAAGAATAAACCTCAACAAAAAACTGACCTCAAACCAGAATGGAATTGAGAGAGAGAGAATGGAGACTAAAAAAACATGTAAGCCTCAGACTTTGAGGGAGAAGTTAAAATTGTCAAGGTTTTGATAAAAGACAGTGCTCAAGGCCTGGGAGACATGGCTTAAATTCAAAATCAATGGAATTCCTGATTCAGCTTTGCAAATAAACAGAAATAACTTTTTATAACCTCTGGGGGACTCGGCGGTTTCTATCTAGAGAGTTATGCCATACCCACTGAAGATTTTATTAGACTTCTTTAGAGGCCAGAATAACCTGATTATAGTTTTATTACTTTTTTGTAGGATCACTATATTTTTGCTAACATCTTAGTTCTGATCTCTTTCGGGGAGGTCATTTCAAGGCAAACTAAGGTCAACTCAATGAACATTAGAGGATTCTAGGACTCAGAAAAGCTGAAAGCCCCTCAGGCAGCAGGAAAGAACCTTTGCTGTGCTGAACTCTGACCTGGGTCTCGAACACAGCTGCTGGGTTTTAGACAGCGTGGATTTGAGGCAGAAAAAGAGCCCCAGGAAAAAGTGATTTTAGCTGAAATCAGATCGGGTTGTCAGGCCATCTCCCTCTAGAATATTCTGACTAAAAAGAACATTTTAATTATAAAGGACTGTCTCTCCTGGGCCTGCTACCACGGAAGGTACTTGAGGGGTAGGTCGAAGAGGGGCTGGCAGGGCTGTCTTGCTGTGATTAATATCTGGCCTTGTCCTCCACTAGCCCTTAAGAAATTAATTCTCAGTGCTTAAGAGCTCTCTTAGCAATGGGCATTTTCTGTAAATGCAGAGTCTCAGTTGGCTGATGTATGTAGATGCAGCTCCTGGGGATTCTTGGTGATTTCTGACTGTGCTGAGATGCCTTGGAGGGATTGGGCGCCACTGAACAGATAGGTAGCTTCAGGCGGGGCCCACCTTCACCCTGAGCTGCTCTCTGGGCTCTTCTGCTCCTATAAGAGCTTTCTAAGTTTTCCTATAGGTTTTGATCAGTAATAGGAGAGGCAGTCACTGACAGCCCATCATTTACTTGAATTCTGAGAGTTTAATTTTTGGTGCTTACAGAAACATCCATCACTTGTGCTACAGACTCAGGTTTAAACCCTCAGAATGTCGATTGCTTTTTAGCAATTGTAGCTCTAAATTTCCCAAACCTATGACAAATCTGCTAGTGACAGGAGAAACCAGGCACAAATCCTACGGCTCCCTGGTGCTGGAATCCTTGTTTTATTCACAAAGCTGCTTTGAAATGTTGAAATGTTTCTCTCTCTCTCTCTCTCTCTCTCTCTCTCTCTCTCTCTCTCTCTCTCTCTCAGTACTGGGGTTTGAACTCAGAGGCCTGCACTTGCTAGGCAGGTGCTTTTGCACTTGAGCCATGCCCCCAGCCCATTTTGCTTTAGTTATTTTTCAGATAAGGTGTCATGCTTTTTATGTGGGCTGGCCTTGGACTGCAATCCTCCTACCTGTACTTCCCAAGTAGCTAGGATGACAGGTGTGTGCCACCATGCCGGATCTGAAATTCTTTCTCTTAATACTCAATGATATTAAATCAGGAGCCAGCAAGGAAGACAGATTGTTCTTCACATGTGATGATGAGTTTACCAGAACTGGTCACTAATGTCTTTGTGCAATCTGATGCAAGTTTGGGACTGTCAAGTGCACAGGGTGTCTTAGAAGGCAGGCAGTTACAAAAAGCTTACTCACAGGAGTAAGGCTCTTGGTAACTGAGCAGGGTGGATTTGGGTGGCTTCTCAGTTCCTAAGTGGACTTTGAACAGGCAACTGGCATAGGTGAATCTGTTTAAAATGATTGATTCACAGGGAGAAAAAAGACTTGAAGGAAACATGCTAAACTATCTTTAGTTTTTGTGTTAGAGTTTGGGGTAATGTATGTATTTTCTACATCCATGATTACATTTCTCATTACAAAAGCAATAAAAACATAGGGCTTTAAAAATATCTTTCTTGGGTAGTAAAAAAGTAGACATGTTATGTTGCGAAGCCCTAATGCTACTCAGCTCCCATTTACCCTGGGGCTTTCTTCCACAGGACAGTCCTGGCTGTTAATCTGAGTCAAAGTAACCTGTAATTTCATCCTCAGGACAAGGTGTCCCAACTGGAGATGGAAGTGGAAGAAGAAAGACACAACTCAGATCTGCTGTCGGAAAGGATCTCTCGGAGCAGGGAACAGGTACTGATGAGAAGAGTAAATGTGGGAGGTTAAACCTGAGGACACACAGCAAGCAGACGGAGCCTGCGCTGTGGAACGAGATGGGGGATTGAGCAGTCTTCACCATAGTAAGCCCCTGGGAGTGAAAGAATTCCAACAACAAGGGAAGGTTCCAGAGAGCCTGAGAATAACACTCTAGGAGCCATACATAACAGGCAGAGCTGAGGTTCTAGGAGTCTTTAGCTCAACACAGCATGGTGTGACGGTTGGTAGCTAGCACTGTGTTAGGTCTTGTCTTATTCATAGATTTATGACATGTGGCTTGGACCAAGCACAGTGAAAAAAAAATACATAAAGTCAAAAGAAATTTCAAAAACAAAATTTTGAATTCCTGTGCATGCATTACGCAGCCTAGCGGGTGTGGAGAAGTTCTCAGCCAGTCCCATGTTACTGGTTACTTGTGTTTAAATCATGTTGTTTCTGACCCTGAATTTTAGAAAAATCTATCTCCCCCAAAGCAAGGTACAGGTGAATGTGCTTAACTGGAGTATGAGGTGACCACTGGGGATTTGTGGAAAGGTGGCTTGGCTTTAGGGAAGTTGGGCGGCGTGTGGGAAAAGTCAATCAACATCTGCAGTATGGCACCGAACTCTGCACCCTGAGCACGCGTGGTTCTTCCTCAGTGCTGGGCTCCTCGGAACCACAGAGCCACAGATACCAAGGGTCTGCTGTATGACTACAGTGAATGCTATCTGTGACATGTGCCCTGTATGGTAATAGTATGTGCCAGGCGAACGCTTTTTTGCAGTTTTGAAAGGAGTTTCACTTACACTGATTCCTCTGACAACACTAACGTCCTGAGCTCCCATCGGTACAAGGGGCTTGGATTTTGTTCCTGTTTCTTAATTAAGTAGAGGTTCCGGATGACCATGCAGTGCACTGGGAGGGGCAGAGTGGAGGAGCTGTCCTGTCATTACAAGTGGCAACTCTGTTAGCTAGTTTCCATTCCCCCAGCACACACCTAAGTCATGGGACAGCTGAAACACTCTGTGGCAGTTTAAACCTGCCCTTTAATCTCGCTTTTGTTGCACCTGTGGATCCCTGCAGAAACATCTCAGAGGATATGTTTTCAGTGACAACCGAGTGTACACCCACTGCCCGAGGATGGCACAGGAGGAATTGTACATAGACGTTTCGAAAACCCTTCTCCTCTTTCTTGACTAGTATTGGCAATTTCTTCATTTAAGAAATGTCACCAAAACCTTGGAATGCTACGGAGTGTAGATTGGAAATTATCTGATTAAAATTAAAAATTGGAAATACAGATTCTTAGATAGGCAAAAGGTACTTTCTCTTTTCCTTTCTGCTCACCCCAGGGTGACAGGGACCAGAGGCTTCAGTGTTCAGGGAAGACACTATTGGGAGCTGACAACCACTGCTCAGACCTGCAGGTGCAGCACTGGCATCTTTCCCATCTGCCCTTGTTTCCCTGTTGTCAGGTTCTTTGCAAATAAGTGTCATACTCATGCTATGGTCTGCTTGACCATGAAGGGACTCCAAGGTCCAGATGTAGAGCTCAACCTTGACATTGGCCCCCGAAGTGTACATTTTCTAAGCTCTCTTACCGGAATAAAAGCTGTTTGTTACGACTTCCTGCCAGCTTGGCTGAGCACCCACATAACTACAAGGCATTCCAAGATCAGCTAAGCATTCCTAATGACAGAAGTGACCGTGAATTTGCTTTGCCAACCTTTCTTGTGATTTATGCACAATGGGAGGAGTGGTGAGAAAATATGTCATCTTATCAAACACCCAGGCAGTTAAAACAGGCTTTCAGTCCTGTGACTTACACCAGAAGCAAAACACAGACACACACAATCAGAATACGGGCTGAGTCACTGGCCCAGGACTGTGAAATACTTGGTTCCAGAATGGTTTGGGCTTCTTCCTTTTAATTGAGCATTTAGATTGGGGGGAGGGAGGGAATGGGATGGCTTTTCCATGTTGTGGTCAAGGTTGAAAATATTTCCGTCAAGGCCAGAGCTTGAAATACATCCAGGAAGTTAAGGACTTAGCTCAGTCTGCTGGAAGGAACACCGCAGTAGGCTGAGGGGAAGTCCATGGCACTCTGGAAGAATTCCAGCCTCTTAGCCCAGCCCCTCAGTTCTCCTGATACAAAGCTATTGATCCAGGAGGCTCTAGAAGCTTTCCTCCGTACTAAGCTTGGACTGCACTGGGAGGTTTTATGAAACCCAAATCCCAACCAAGTATCTGATTCACCTTTAACTTTCTGCACCTGTGAGTTAGATGCCTAAAAAGATGAGCTCTACAAATGACTACAGCCTCTTTCCTGACACCTTCATTTCTGGCTTTTTTTTTTTTTTTGTCCTTCTCCCATGCTAACGAGGGTCAAGTCTGGTGTTTATTATAAATGAAGAAATTTAGCATCAAGTTCAAATTGATGTAGGAACTTGTAAAACACCAACACCCCACCCCTCCCCTCGCTGAGATAGAGTGATGTCTGATTTGAGAGGAAGGGGGTTGACCAAGACCATGTACATGTCTCACGGGACAGCATTTCTGTTCTCAAAGTGGAAGTTGATCCAAGGCTGCTTTCTTTCTCTTGAAGTGGAGGCTATATGGAGAGAGCCTTGGGTGTAGACAGACTGGCCCTGAACCTAATCTGTTTTAGGTCACATAGGGTAATGTTCGGGGCCCTCTGATTGCTGCTTTCCTGACAGAACCAGAGAGAGAAAAGGTGAAACTTTCAAACTTGAGACTTTTTCTTTCCTTCACTCTCCAATGCTGAACTGTGACTCCTGAAGGACTGAACTAGTACCTGTTACCTTGACCTTGGACTCCAGCAAACTGCAACTGAAAGGGGAGGGCATGGGAAATTTTTTGGATCTTGCTCTTTTTAAAAAGCTACAGCTTGCCAGATGTGGTGGCCCATGCCTGTAATTCCAGCTATTCCAGAGGTGGTCAGAGGCCACCCTGGCCAAAAAGTTAATGATAACCCCATCTCAACCAACAAGCTAGGCAGTGGTGGCTCATACGTTGTAATCCCAGCTACGTGGGAGGCATAGGCAGGTGACCTGGGGTCCAAGGCCAGCCCTGAACAAAACATGTGAGACCCTATCTAAAAAATAAAACATAAAAGGGTTGGGGGGGGGCATCATTCCAAGTGGCAGAGCACCTGCCTAGCAAGCTCAAGGCCCTGAGTTCAAGACATCAGTCCCACCTCCTCCTCCAAGACCTAAAACTTACAGCTCTCTACTTAAACTTTGAATGCTCTCCACTTGAATATTTGCTCCCCACCCCCAATATCTCCCATTCTAGTCTCTAGTCTTAGTGATATGACTTAGGTGAATAAGCCAGAGAAATGTTTCCAGGAAATCAGTGAATGCCAACCCCTTTGGAAAACCTTATATCTGGAAGGACCTCAGAGGCCAACTCTTCAGATTTCTCCTGTTGCTGATGAGAGATTTGAGGTCCAGAGCCACATGGGGCTTTGGCCCAAGCCATGCAGCAGTTAGCTTCAGCTCTAGCCTTAGGTCTCTTGACTCCCAAAGCAGCATGTGGCTACCAGTGCTTACAAAATACCACGAATATCTATTGCACAGTGGTAAATCTACAGAAGAGAGGGAAGGAGTTTCCATATTGTCATCAAGATGTAGTTTTACCATAAAAGGCTTATACACTGAAGGAAATTCATCTAAGTCGTTCTTTTGCCAGCCTTGAGTTTGTTTAAATCTTGAGCAATCCTTTCTCCTTTCCTTCCTCCCCAAACCATGAGGACAACTCTCATCCCTATGAAGACTCTCTGAAGGGTAGGCACTGTGCCAGGTGCCTCACCTAACTTGTAAAAGGTGGGGCCACCCATGCATTGTCCCCTACCCGCAAGTTAAAAATATCAGTGTTTAAGATGGGTGAGGCTTTAAGTTCACCTGACTCTCTTCTGACTATGAGCACAGGATTCAAATAGGCAAAGCAAGGTCTAGTTTGGTGAGTTTTACACATGCTGGGCATGTGTCCTGGTTCAGTGGGCATTGCAGTGCTGGAGGCTGAAGGCCCACGGTTAGCAGGGTAATCTCTTGTCCAGGAAAGCCAGGATGATCCAGCCCAGGGGAAAAATGACGCAGGCAGTGGAAAAACACCTACTTGCCAGCTTCAGGCAACTTCAGTGTCTTTCCAGGGGCTGAACAAGGTTGCTTTGTTGCCTTGGCAACCACAGGACAAATCCCAGTGGATAAAGTTGTGGGCATCCACAGTCACTTTCGGGAACTGCTCCCCAGTGGCCGGCTCACACCTGCTCTTCAGGCAACACCAGGGATGGAAATATCAGTAAATGAGATATAAATAATCTTGTTGGCAGGAAGCAAGTGACAGATCAAAGTGGGGCGGCTGCTGCTTCTTTTAGTTAAAATGCTCCCAGGCTCAGAACTGCCCTTTGTTGTATCTGCTGCTCAGAAAAACAATGTATGTAGTTGGCTTATAATAATTTTCTTATGACTGTCATTTTTAACACCAGCTCAGAAGTATAGGGATGCCAACTTCTTCACAGCCCACTCATAAACACAGGTGAGGGTTAACTTTCTGTTAACCCAAGACAGCTGCTTCTAATCCCGAGAGCTGGCTGAGGCTATGGGCATCCCAAAGGTAACCCCACTGGAATCTGATACTCTGATTTCCTATCGAAATGCTCAGGGTTTCGCATTCTTTCAATCCAGCTTGATAAACCGTTGCCTTTCACTCTTGATCTGTTTTTAATTTGATCGGAAAGTTTTTGAACTGTTTCATATAGCTCAAGGGTAAAAAGCCTATAAAACATTAAATTTACAAAAAGAAATATATTCCCAGCTTTGAGTTTACCTCCTTCATCCAACAGACGAGGCTCATCACACCAGGCCAGAGTTTGGGTTTTGCTGATGGGGACCCAGGGTAAAAGAAGAATCTGATCTGAGACTTTGGGGAACCCTGCATTGAAGAACACAGCCAAAAGCAGCCACTTCTAATATGGTGAAACCATCCTTGTTGTGACTATCCAAAACACAGAGTCCTCTGTAAGGCTCCAAAGTGTTAGATTTACTTTAGAATTTAGTGTCAGACTGTTCTTTTGAAGAACTGAAGGAAGACTACTGTTTTCCATAAGGCTTGAGAGAAATTGCCTGGTCACGGTAACTTAAGCTTTATGGTTGCAGTTTTAGATCGTCCCCTTCTTCACTCTGATTTCACACTTCATTTTAATAGTCATCTTTTGAGGGATGTGGTGAGGTATGAATAGTTACTGTTTTCTTTTTCCCTTTGGAAAGTCACCATTTGCCTGGGGCTCTCTCCTGGGAGGGCTCAGAGCTCCTCTGCACAGGGAGGTCTGTGTCCTGGTGGGACTTAAATTTTCCAGCTGGTGACAATGAGGGAGTAAGTCTGTAGCTGCTGCTGTAAGTTGTAAGGTCTGTTCTGAGCTCACTTCAGGCAGTCCTCAGTCACCCCACGGCCCACTCTGCTCCCTCCACTGTAAATACTTCCTTTGGGGCCCAGAGGTCCTTGTCAGCCCTTTCCTATGGAATATTCCCTTCATTGAGAGACAAGGGGGAAGGGAAAAAGGAACATAGGATTTGTAATGAGAAATCCTGGGTTAGAATCCAAAGCTGCTTCTGACTAACTTTGACTCAGGCACATTCCTGAACCTCCACCTGGAAAAGCAGAACTGTAACATCTGCCTCAGAGTTTCTGGGAGGATTAGTGAGCTCAGACTCAGTTTCTCGGTGCTTGGTTTTTGGTGTGTGTGTTAAGGGGGAGGTTTCTTGGTATTTTCCATCTGGTTCCTTGCTCCACACAGCTGCCCCACACCTCTGCTGGATTTTATTGCCTTTTGGTGGTTTTTGGCCTCACACCCCACAGCACCTGGATTTCTAAATTTCATTCTCTCTGACAAGCACCTAGTTCTCCCTAGGTCTCCTACAGGACCTGCACCCTGGCTTCTTTTCGTCCCTCTCCGGTTTTATGCTAAGTTCAGTGCCTGGCTTCTGTCTTTCCACGGTCCTGCTCACACTCTGTTCATTGTCTATGACACCCTCACTTGCTTCCATGCTCAGAGTATCACTGTGCAAACTCCTTCCATATCTTCTCCAGCCCTATGGTCAGTGGTTCATCTTGAGCCCTACTGGAATTCCCAGAGGAGGGGGGTGGCCCCAAATCCCCACCTCTTCACTCCAGTGTCTCCCTCACCTCTGCTGTGAGGGACCCTCTCTGCCAAGCCTTCCAGAGCAGTCTTGCCCTGGCCCAGCTCTGGGAGTTTCTGCACAGTCATCCTGTGTGGTCATCCTCTGCCTTGCCCTCATGGGAGGAGGGTTCCCAGAGCATGGTTCTGGATCTTTCTCATTCCTCTTCACCTTGGCGAGCTCATCCATCCTGTGCCTACCTTGTCACATGGTGGCGAGGGCTAAATGAGATGCTGCTACTCAAATGCACAGCCTGACTCAGTGCAGATGTTAGCTATTGGCTGCTATTACTATGAACCCTGCAGGAGTGCTATCTCCCCCACATGCCCACCCATCCTTCCAAACACCCCTTTTTTCTTATTGGTGGTCCCCTGGTTTGGACAACTCCATTTGCTCCTCTACCCCTCACCCTTCTCATTTGGGTCCCTTTCTCTTGGCATTTTAACTGGCTGTCCAAATTGGGCTGTGACCTGGCATATCCTGCCCTTCCCTATCATAGTAACACTGGTCAAGTGTGCAGGGCATGTTCCTTTGTTCCCTCCGGGAACCGTAACAAGGGCAAGCACCATGTCACCATACTGTGTCACAATCCCTGGTCACTAATACAGTTCAAACAATTGATGACCTCATGTCATCATCATGTCATCCCACACATACACACACCCTGCAGCATTCTCAAACACACACTCGCCCTCACTTTGACCTGGAGTTCCTGAACACCAGGGTCTGGGGGAAACTTTCAAAGGTTTAGAGAGAGGGTAGCTACTCTGCCTGAGGGTGGACACTAAGTCCTCTAGCTTCCTCAGAGGTGTGCCTCATAGCACCTTGAAGAGTAGAGGGGACACAGGTCAGCTAGAAGGACCCTTCTGGACTGTCTTATTCAAGTTCCTTATTTATAGACGAGCCTCCATCCCAGAGGTGAGATGAACAAAGTCACATGCAGGTGATGGCAGAGGCAGGCAGAGAAGGTGGGCCAGAACTGCTTGACCATGTAACTCCTTCCCCCCACAGTCAAGGGTGCACCCTGTCCTCACCAGCTTCCCCTGGGAGGCACGTCTGTAGTCTTGTGTTGCAAGTGACTGTGAGCCTGCATTCGTTACCCTGGTACCTTGTGCTCAGAACAGTTATAGGAATTATTCTAATGCCTTCTTCATAACATGTGACTCTTGATGACTGTGGGGTGAGTAGAGTGTTCCATGTGATGCCTGTAGGTCCTCTGCATTGCTGGCATTCTTTACTTCTTCTCACAAAGGTGCCCTGAGGGAAAGTGGACGCCCTCCTTGGGTCTTGGTTGTTTTTGTAACTGAGATACAATATTTGTACATCTTTGTGGAATACATTATGGCCATTCAGAATCAGGATAAAAAGCATTCCACCTTGATTCCCCTCTAACTGTCCTTGAAATACGGGTTTCCTCTGCTGCTCTGACTCTTCTGAGTGCCAGACAAGGATTCAGCCATCTTGACTCCCTTCTCCTGCCTTGGTTTTTATGTTACAGCTGTGTTTGAACTCTCGGTTCATTTGAATCCTTTTTACTTAGTTGGTCAAAAGAAACAGAGCAATTGAAGGAGTGGGCAGTGAACTGGTTCAACCTGTGTTCTAGTCTGGTTGCCTCTAGTTACTTGTGTAGCCACCCCAGGCCTCAGTTTCCCTTTTGGTAAAATCCTAAACCCCTGTGAGTTAAAAGACTGCCAGTCAGAAGTTCAAAAGGTTAATTTTTTTTTTTTTTTAAATAAAACCACACAGATCTCCCACCTAACGTCAGGTCTAGTGTCCTCCTGAGATGTTTAGGCTCTGTTTGTCCAGCCAGCCTTATTCCTTACCACATCCTGTCATCTCTCTATCAGCCACACTGTGCTGTTTGTCATTCTGTGAACATACTGTGTCCAGGACAATGGGAGCCAGGAAGCAAATGAACCTGGGGCAGTGTCTCATCTTGTTATTTCCAGGACTTGCAACTGTTGCACCCTTGCAGGGTGCTTATATAGGTGGCCAAAAAAAAAAAAAAAAGAAATCCTAAGGCCAGGTGAGCCTGCATCAGAATGCCCCCCAGACCCTGGTCTCCAGGGACTCCAGATGCATCGCTGGGCCATGTGGGTCCCCAAAAGGCTTCTTCTTAGGAAAAAAAAAATCTTTTGATTGCACTGGCTCACCTGAATTCTGCCTTCTTCAGGCTGCCCTCTGCTGGACAGTTCTATTCATAGGGTGGGGCCTGTGTTGACATTCACTTCACTCCACAGAGGTCGCCTGGGAATGATAGACAGGTGGCAGTTTTTTCCCCCTGCTGGTCAGCAAGGCTCCTTTGCTACCTTCACAGAATGGATAGCCTTTGTCAGGGCCTGGAGCTGCCCAGTATTCTGACTTCTGTTTCTGGCACGAGAAAGGAGAAATCTAGCAGGAGCTAGGAAATGGTCATTGGGACATCCTTTCTGAAGTGCGACCTTGGAAGGAGGTGACAAGAACCCAGGCAGATACTCACTTTTCCTTGGGCCAGTTTGCCCGGGCCTTTCCTGATCATAACATTGAATGTCCCATGTCCTCAGAACCACCTAGGCAAACTTGATGGTGGTCCCCCCCCACCAGTGATTACCTTCTTCTCCAAGCCCTAATGTCCTTAGCAAAGATAATATGACTAATTGTTAGGGTTGTTTGGGGCTGTCATAGGATAGTGTGAATGTGGAGTCTAAGCAGGCACCTCAGTTTCTTAGGGCTGCTTGACCAACTGGTGGCATAGAAAAAACAAAGGTTTTGTCTCACAATTCTGCTGTCCACAAATCTGAAAGCAAAGTGAAGGCAAAGCTTCTGAGACCAGTAGGGAATCCTTCCTTGCCTCTCCTAGTTTCTGGTGGTTTGCTGGCAATCTTTGGTACTACGTGGCTTGAAGATGCATCCCTGTCATCCTCATCTGCACAGGGAATCTTCATGCTCATGGTTGTCTTTGCATCCAAACATCCCCTTTCTAAAAGGACACCAGTCATGCTGGATTAGCATCCTTAATGCTTCATTTGAACTTCATCACCTCTGTAAAGACCATATTTCCAACTAAGTTTATATCAGAGGTATTGAGGGTTAGGATGTCCATATATGTTTCTTTCTTTTTTTTTTTTTTTTTTTTGGTGGGGGGTGGGGAGGTTAGGGAGCAACTCAACCCATCATAGCATGGTTAGATGTGACTGTGATTATTTGTCTAACTACCTTTGCAATCACTCAGAGAAGCCAAGAACATCTAAGAAATAGATCCTGTACCCAATAGGAGGCAGCATGAGGGGTTTGGCCTCTTTCAGGAAGAGTTGACTTTGTTGTTGGAATTCTGTGCCTGGGAACCATCTCTTTAACCTCTGGGCTTTTGTTCTGCTTATTGTAGATGGAGCAGATGAGGAACGAGCTACTTCAGGAGAGAGCTGTGAGGCAAGACTTGGAGTGTGATAAGATTTCCCTGGAGAGACAGGTGAGGGCAGCAGGACCCATGAGCTCCAGCCTCCTGCTCCGTGGCTTTGGGCTAGAATATTGGAGGTCTGCATCCCAGTGAAAAAGGAACAGATAAGACTCAATATCATCAAACATATGAGTGTCTAAGAAAGATTAATTGGGCCATAATTTCTTCACTGAATATAATTGGTGAAGGAGTCTATTTCTCCTGTCCTCTTCCCTGCAGGTTTATAAAAGGACAGTCCCAAGCCTAATTCAAGCTCATGAGGGATTATGTTAGAATATCTTCCTTTACCTTCTATGACCTAAATTCAGGGGTGTTTCTAGAATTATCTCTGGGCTCCCCAAGGGCCCCAGCCATGCATTCTTGTGAGGAGAGCAAGATTAGCACAGGTATCCACCAAATACCTATCTCCACCCTGTATTCTATGCCCAGAGAGCATGGCAGACACAGTGCCTCATAATCTCCTGTCTGATTCCAGAACAAGGATTTAAAGAGCCGGATTATCCACCTGGAAGGTTCCTACAGGTCCAGTAAAGAGGGGCTGGTGGTACAGATGGAAGCCAGGATTGCAGAGCTGGAGGACCGACTGGAGAGTGAGGAGAGGTGAGCTTAGAACAGGGTGGGGCAGAGGTCATCCCATTAGTGTGCTTGTACATTGGGTGTCTCTTCCCATCCTTGTAAGCCCTTGTGGAAGGCAGAACATGTAAAACCTTGCTGTTATTTCCATTTTACAGGTGAGAAAACTGAGACCCATCAGAGGAAGTGACCCGAGTACGGTAGCCTGTCTGAACATAGTGTAGCTGGATTGGAGTTCAGGAGTGGATTCCTCAGTCTATAGCTTTCCCGCTGAGCTTGCTGTGCCTTTCTTCATTCCCCAAATAAAGCAGGCTACCTCATACGCTACTGAGTGTGAGCTAGATTGGAGGCCAGGGGCATTCAAGCAGAAGTCACTGGCTACCTGTCAAAGATGAGGCAGGTCCTTCCCCAGTGGCTGGGCAAGATACACGATCAGGTGACCACACTCCTTCCCAACACCATGATGCTCTGAGCTATGAAATTTCAGGCTGAGGACTAACTGGAATTAACCAGATTTGTTCTTACTCATGGTCCCATACCTTCCTAGAAAGAGTGTGACAGGTGTGCATGCATACCTGTTTTCAGTAGGACTTCTAGGGGATTGAGCTGGAGCAGCCTGGCATAGACTCAAATGCTGGCAGTCAGCAACTCTTTGAATTACAAAGTTAAGCTCAGCAGTGGAAGAACTCAGGACTCTTCTAGACCCTGCTGAGCCCCTTGCTATCCCTGCAGCCTTGGATGGGACACACCCTTCTTGAAGCCTTTGTTCTTCAGCTGTCCGAAGAGTAGCCCATTTCTCCTCCCTGCTACATGGATATCTCTCTGACCCTAAGCTTCGGTTGACTAGTACCTCTGTCTGGAATGTCCCCTCCTCCCAGCCTGGGCCTCCTCCTGGGCTGAGAATGAGAGAATGCTCAATTCTGTCTCCCCAGGGACCGGGCCAGCCTCCAGCTCAGCAACCGAAGACTGGAGCGGAAAGTGAAGGAGCTGGTGATGCAGGTGGATGACGAGCACCTGTCACTGACTGACCAGAAGGACCAGGTGAGGGGGCGTCTGTGTTCTCTCTCAGATGGGATTCTGTCTCTGAGGCTGGGGGAGCAGGAAGGAGGTTAGGCTCCATGGACAGTGGCATTGGCGTGGGCCCATTCCTCCTGTCCACTCACCACTTACATCACAGAATGGGGCTTTCTGGGCTACTTAGGGGATTTTGGCAAGCTTCAACACCTGAATTTGGCTTTCAAAAATTATGCCCTCCCTCTTTCCATGAAACTCGTTGTCTGGGGAGAGGTTGGCCAGGCCCCTGGCATCCTTTCTCCTTCCGGGCCCTGCTGGGTCTTCCCCCAGCATACAATCCACCCTCTCTCTTGACGCAGCTGAGCTTGCGCTTGAAGGCAATGAAGCGACAGGTGGAGGAGGCCGAGGAGGAAATCGACAGACTGGAAAGTTCTAAGAAGAAGCTGCAGAGGGAGCTGGAGGAGCAGATTGACGTGAATGAGCACCTGCAGGGGCAGCTCAATTCCATGAAGAAAGAGTTAAGGTGGGTGAAGGTGGTGCCCCACTGTGGCCTTTAGTTCCTCAACCTCCAATATTTGAGGAGTACTTGATGCTTTCAGAGCATTCTTACTCCTGTTGGACCAAGCCAGTTTCTTTTGGGGTCCTCCCACCCTAGAGATGAAAGATGTTCACTTCCGGCATCTCACATATTCCATAAGGTCTCACTTGTGCCATCCTTATACCAGTGCGCCAGTGCCACCTGGGCAGCCATTATCTCTGTTGACATTTGGGGAATCTGAGGCTTAGAGGAGATCAGCCTGTCTCACACCACCATGCACAGCAGTACCTGGACCCAGACTACTTTTTTTTTTTTTTTGACTGAGGGAGTAAAGTTTTGATTTGTATTCTTACAAGGGCTGGGATATCCTGAGCCAGGGGTTCTCCCAAACTCCTCTGTGAAAATCTTAAGGATGGGGGCAGTGGGAATTGGATGGGTGGTTTTTCCTGCCCAAGAAATGAGGCAATGCCTGGGGCATTGAGGTGAGGAGGTGAGATTAAGGTCAAACTCATCCACAGAGCTAAACCTTTCTTGGAGGCTGACTGCCCTGGGCTCTATGCTGGCTGTCCAGGTAGTTCTCATAAAGGGACAGAAGGTTCCAACTTTTTGAGAATTTTGTCCTATGGGGCTGATTTAATGGGAAACAGGCCTGAAGGTCAGCATTAAGGTGAAACACATCAGTAACCAAAATCGGTAACATTTTTAATGTGATGTTCAAAAAAATTACTACCATTATTCACCACCTAATCCTTGGTGAATATCAAAGTTTTAAGTTAAGACAGGATCAGTACCAGCATCCTGCCAAGCCATAGGAGAAATCAATACTGATCCTGGTTCACCCTGTCAACCCTAGTTTCTGGTGCTGAGAGGTGGGCAATTTTCTACCTGGTACTGAGGGACCGTCAGGTGTTGGTCCACTAAGTTCATGTGCTTATATGTCCTCAAAAGAGAGGAAGACAGGAGCCCAAGACCCTTCATCCATCACCAATCAGAGATAAGGTCTAGCCAGGGCCAGGAAACATATCCCTTATTGCTTTAGCAGGCTTAAGAAGCTACCGAGTAAAGTGCTGGATGACGATGACGACGACGATGACCTCAGCACTGATGGGGGAAGCCTCTATGAGGCGCCACTGAGTTACACCTTCCCCAAGGACAACACCATTGCCAGCCAGATCTGAGTCCAGCACTTCCAGGGCTGTTGAAGGGGCTCATAATTCCTCACAGGATTCTGCAGCCACCCAAAGCAAGAGGCAGCAAAGGGAGCGGGCATCTGAAGTTGAGACCCTGAGCCATCTCTCACACAGCCTGCTACTTCTTCCTCAGGGTCTCTCCGTGGTTGAGTGACTATTGGGTGTTCGACAGGGAGCTATTTCAGTTCAAAATGAGGAGTAAGAGCCACCAACCAATGGGGCATTTTTGAAAATATAATTTGGTAGGATGAGCCCCTGTTGGACACAGCTGTCTGCCATCACCACATGCATTGTCTTCCTGTCCTGCTCTTCCCTCCCCTTGCCAAGAGAAAGAGGCCAAAGTGTAGTTATGTAATAGACACTGTGCAGGGAAGGAAATGTACAGGCTGTATATATTTTAAAACAGACCTTCTCACGGACTGCTGCTATTCCATTTTGGAATGTTCCAGAGCTTTTACAGTGTGGTTTATTTGTAAAGTTCACACATCTATATTGGGTTAACCTTTTTAAAATATGAAGCTACTAGATTTTAAGTATTAAAAAACAGAAGCAAAAGAAAGTAGAGTAAAGACCACTTTGGAAATCAGAGTTGGAGAAAAAGAAGTCTGGTAGTAACAATGGACAATTAGTTTTGGGAATCTATATTCTGATGGTCTGAGGAAACAACTTGCTGGATGAGAAGGTCATTTTTACCTATGACTTTGGTTGCTATTTTATCTAGAATTATAATTTCTGAACCACGCTAACCCCAGTTCCCAATCACCGATTTTTTTATCCACAGATGGAACAGGACAAGTGATGTGTTTTCTAGAAGGATGAAGCCTTGGTGTCATATCTCACTAGTCCTTTCCTTTCTCCTCCAATGGCAGGCCTCCAAGTTCTGTTCTCTTAAGCCTGGAATGGGAGGAGTAAGAGGGGACCAGCACAATAGGTATGAGGACAAGGCAGAAGGCATCCAGGGAAAGGGAGAGGGGCTGAGAAGCAGGTGTAGGAGGTGAGCTGGCATGAGAAGGAAGGTGGAAGTTCATGTAGGCTAGAGATGGGTTGAGCTCAAACTCAGATTGATGTCAGAGGGAGAAAGAATTTGGAGTGTCTGCAAACCTGGGGGGTTGTCTAGGAGCAATGGCATGAAATACAGGGAGCTTGGCACTGGGAGCAATCTGGATATCCCAACACTAGTTTCTGCCCTAACTGCTAAAAATGTTAACAGTTACACTGTCCTATCCTGCAGTGGGGTTGACAGGGAACTGGTCACATATTACTATGGGACAGGCAGGCATGCAACTCAGGAGAGAAGTAGTCAGGGGTTGGGCCCTATGAATTGGTTAAGAGTATTGGGCAAAAATGGCAGGGGTCACTGTGTCAGCAGTATTCCCAAGTGTCCTAATAGGGATGTGAGGAACTTATGGGCCAGAAAACCTCATGACAGTTGCCATGGGGTCCCTCCTACCAGTCGCAGAGCCTACCTAACAGGATTCAAAGTGGTCAGCCCAGTCCTCCACCTCTGAGTTAGGGTCACCACCAGTGGGGGTGGCTCTTGCTTCTGCTTACTCACTGGGTATGGAGCGATTTCCTGCTTTCCTTCATTTAGTATATTCTGGATTCTGCACCTGCAGTGTGTCAGGCACAGTCCTTGGTCTTGGGAGTCCAGCAGTGAGTAGAACAGGTAAAAGCTCTCCCCTCTTGGAACTCAGTCACGGGGAAAGGGGTGCTAGACACCAATAAACAAACTGACACAGGTGCTGAGCCTCTCTGTACCCAGCCCAGGAGCCCTTTGTCTTCCCGGGGACCTGACAAGCATGTGGTTGGTTGACTGGCTCCATGGCACTCAGAGATTCCCTGGCCCTCAGAATGTTTTTCATTTCCTTGCTGCTTCTGCCATCACAAGATATTGTCAGTACGTCTGCTGAGAAAGCTTCTACCCACTCATACCTACAGATGCAAGTCCTGGAGAAAGATCAGCGAGCCCAAGAACTTTGGGAAGGAGCACCGGGTTTTGGATTGGGAGAAAGTAACTGGTCCTCATTCTGGTTAGCTCTTTCTAGTAGCCATGAATAGAGGCAAAGCTACTTCTGAAAAACAGATCAGTGTGAAACACTTGCATTGTTACCCTAAAATGAGACTGCTAAAAATGTTAACAGTTATGCTGTCCTATCCTGCAGTGGGGTTGACAGGGAACTGGTCACATATTACTATGGGACAGGAAGGACACTGGACTGGGATTTAGAGAGAGAGAGTTTCAAGTCTTGGCTCATCTCCTTACCCATGACCTTGCTGGGTGCTGCCTGGGAAAAGTGGAGGAGGCCCAGGTCCTCCCAGCTTGAACATGCTATCATTCTTTGATTTTATGATATATACATATTTTTTCCTCTTTATTGCTTTAAGAATTACACTGCTCAAAATATTTTTTAGGCTAGCTAAAGAAGGTATTCTTATGTAAAAACAAACGTGGCCAGATGCAATGCTGAGGAGACAATCACCATGTAGCTTTTATAGTTTTTTTCCCCAGCTTTGGAGTGTCACTCTGCCATGCCAATTGGTTTATCCTTGGTGGGTTTTTTTCTTCTGGGTATGAGTAGGTTGCTTTGTATTGCCATGGGGAAGAGACATTCCTACTCTGGCTACCTCCTTGTAAGTGAATTCCTGGATAAAGCAAGATTTCCTTTCAATAAACAGAGTCACTCAATGGGAATCTCGACTTTTCCATTATGTTCACTCCCTTATTTTTTCAAAAGGTTGGTTCTTTGTTCTCCAAGAAATTACCAAATTGAATGACTGAGAACTACAACTTAGTAGCATTCCAAAGTGAGCTTCTGAAATAAGAGGGTGGGGAAGGCCCAGGGAAGAAATGGCTCTGGCCAGTTGTGACGTCCTGAGAATTCCAAACTGCCTGTTTCAGAAAATGGCAAAAGGGTAAGCGTCATCCAAAGTCAACTGAGAATAAATAGGTGCCCCATTTATTTCTTTTTCTAAACTTGGATGGGTTTGCCTGTAATTGAGTTTGTACAGTCTCTGGATCTCACAGCGACCAACCACAGACACCAGAAGCTGCAACTGGGCAGACCCTATGGAGCAGTAAACTTGGCATTTTACCTGACTTAATCTGCATGCCATGAGGCGGGTGATATTACTCCCTTTCACATGCTTCGGAACACATGCAGAAAGATAAATAACTTGCCCAAGGTCACTAACAAGTGAAGAGTGGACTTGGTTAGAGTCCCGTGTCTGAGTTTCCCTGTACTGTGGCCATGCTCATCCTGTTGTCCCTTTGAAATAGTCACTGTGATTTCTCTAGCTGAGGTACACTGGGCACAAAGGCTGGGTGGTTTCTTTGTGATCACAGCCTCTGGCATACAGGTCTGCACTTAGAGTCCGAGGTCTGCTTGAGGAGAGGCAGACAGCCCCTCTGCTCTGCAAGCCCTCTCCTACCACCTGCCTGGGCCTCACTGTGTTCCAGCTGCCTCTGGGCCTTCAGGCCTTTCCAGGAAAGCATTGTTTTCTAGGAAAGGGCTTGGAGATTAAGATAAACCAGGTGCCCTCAGTTAAATGCCTCCTGCCTTTGAAAGGGCCCAGCCAATAAGCCTGCCAGTCCAGCTCCTGGGTTTGCTTGGTTTTATCACAATGACTGAGGCCACCTTGCCTTTCATTTGTCCCTGATTGCCATTGGGCACACATGCTGGGGCTGTTTGGAGACTGGCTAAGGCTCCCTGCAGAGCTAGGCAAGGGATTTGTGAAGCCAGAGCCAAGCTTGCTTTGAGACTCCTGGCTCTCTCATGTCCTTGTCTGCTCTCTCTGGAAAGACTTCTCCCAGAATTTGGATAATGAAGACTTAGAAAACACAAGTGCCCTCTATTCAACCAGCCTGCCACTAGCCTCCAGCTCTGGCCCTCCTATGCTCTGGTTTCCAATTTACATGTGGATGGTTTCCTAAACTATGTTCATTTTCTGAAGCAGGGTTTTACAGGAAATAAATAACTCACTCTACCATTTCCTCCACTTCATGGCAACTCTTTTTCTTTTGTCTGTGTGTTTCATTGCTGCTGGGTTCTAAAATAAAGGTGTCTTAAATGCTTTGGGGCTTACAAAGTTCAGTGGCCTTCCTAGCCCTCTGGAAAGGTAAGGTGTGCCCAGGGTAAGTAACTAGGGTTGTTCACCCCTTGTAAGACTATAAGATTGTCCCACCTACTGCTCACCACACGGAGGGGGTGCTTTCTGAGATGTGCAGCCTACATTCAGAGGTTGCTTTGCAGACATTAAGAGGTCAGCTGTGCTCAGAGTCCTAGTGACTTTGCTCCAACATCAGCAATATAGACCCTTAGGGAGCTCCAAATACAGGGAAGACAAAAATAGGCAAGGTACCTGAGCATGACATCTTTCTCACAGAATTTCCAGTTGAGAACTTTTGTGTTCTCACTACCAAGAATTAACATTGGTCAATAGTCGTTCACATATGCTTCACATTTTTACATAAAAGTAAGACAGGTGTGGTGGCTCCTGTCTAATTCCAGCTATTTCAGAGGAGCTAGAAGAATCACTAGTTGAGGCCAGCTTTGGCAAAAAAGTTAGTGAGACCCTAGCTCAACAAACTGACATGGTGATGCTTATCTGGAATCCTAGCTATATGGGAGCCATATAGGTAGGAGGATTGCCATCCAAGGTCAGCCCAGGCAAAAAAGCGAGAGACCGTATCTGAAAAACAGCTAAATTAAAAGGACTGGTGTGTGTGTGTGTGTGTGTGTGTGTGTGACTCAAATGTTAGAGCACTTGTCTTGCAAGCATGAGACCCTCAGTTAAAAATCTCATTAATGTGAAATAAAGAGAAGATTACAGATAAGGGCAAGATATTCCCCCTTTCTTGCTCATTCCTTTTTATTCCTGCCACAGGCAACCTATTAATCTGGTGTGTATTCAGTATTTAACACCTTTATGCACGTGCATCCATGAACACAATCTAGTATTGTTTCATGTGTTTTAAACTTTACATACACAATAGCATTGTGTATGTATTGCTCTGTGAACTTTTACATGTTTTTCAAGACCTATTGATGTTGAATTAGGTACTTATTTTGTTTGCTTTGTTTTTTTCTATTTATTTACCTATTATTTTTGG